GATCTTCCCTGAGATTTGGCCTAATTATAAGTAGATGAAACTATTGCATTTTTTTTTTTGTAGCATGCCTGTAGAGGTTTGACCCATTTTTGCAAAGACCTCTCCTACATACAAAATTCAGTCCTTTTGTTAGAAAAATTAGTTGAAGTGACTAAAATGCCCATTAACTAAGTGAAAAAGATGCTACTACCATTGTAATGTCATCAAATGACAAAAAAAGTTTTACATTAAATAACCACAGTGAATGGGGGTGGTGGCCGCTGAAATAATTTGACTTTTTCATTACGCCAGGACAAAGAATCATGAAGGCTAGGCATTGTCATTTGAGGATGCCGTAGGAGTGCATCTTGTAGTCCATCTCGATCAATATCTGATATAATAAAATAAAATGTAAGCAAAAAGGATTTACCTTTTTTCTCTTTTATTACTAAAAAAAAATTACAGTCGTTAATACTCAAGTTTGAAGTAGTCAGGATTTATACTAGTATACTACTCATGATTCAAATGGAATATTAACATATTCATGGTGAGATTGTAAAGACATCAATTGGAGATAAAATGGCAAAGAATTATGTGATTAAGATGGTTTGGCCATATAAAATATCCAGAATTAAGACAATAGTTTGCTAGCAAATAACAATATTCTTGTATGTGGATATTGTTAGATGTGCCCCACATCGAATTCAGATGAAAAGGAAAATGGGTATATTTGGGTTGGTTGTTAGCTCTATCCAATAGCTTTAGCTATTGGGTCAAACCGCGAAGCACCCGACTCGTTATAGTTGGTATCAGAGTCAGACCAGTCATTGATCTGGCATCACGTCATGTGCCTCCCCGGAGGAGTCTGGGTGTTCCCCCGGGCAGGCAGGATGGCTCAATCGCAATGAGGGTGTTGTGAATTCGAGTGGGGGAAAATGTTAGAGGTGTAACCCATCGGATCCGGATGAGAAGGAAAATTAGTATATATAGTTTGGGTGTTAGCTCTACCCAATAGCTTAAAATTTTGGGTCAAACTGCGAAGCATCCAATCCGTTACAACTATATTTAAAGCGTTATGAAGATTGCTAAATTTGAAACCACTTTGATGGCCAAACGAATCCTGTATCGACTAATGAATTAAAAGATTAAATCTTCTTATTTTATCTACTCTCAATTTTGGCATAAAAAACAACAATTTGTATAACATTGACTGTGATTATTTACTCTACAAAATAGTAGTAATTCATAAAAACATTTTATGAGATCTATTAAGATGATTCAAGAACGTAAGGTGTGGCCGTGATGGTGGTGACGGCTGGTGATAGTGATGGAAGGAGCTAGCGTGGGAGGAGAGGAGAGAGAGAAGAAGAGAAAAAAAAAAAAAGTTAGTGATGGGCTTTGGGTTATATACATGACCTAGTTGATGACAAATTGAACAAAATGTTAGTTGCTATTAAATCCCTATTTTTTTATACTTTACCGCTAAATCAATTAGAGAGAAAGCTAGAAGAAGAAGAAAAAAAACACGAAGGGGAAAAAAAGAAGAAGAAGAATAGAAAGAAAAATAAGAAAAGTGGAGGCATCCCTCGAATGTGTATGTTTTTATAAAAAAACATTGAAAAAAAAAATATTTTTTATAATAGAGTCGCTTGTGGAAAACACCCCTATAATATGCATATAGTGCGTATAACCCCCCAATGTTTATTAACCACCCTCCTACAAAAAAATAGGTGTGGATTAGTGCCTTTTGTCTATTGACTTCTGTTGACTCATACCAAAGCTACGAAAAGACTAAAACACCCCTCTGTCTACGATTAAAAAAAAAACAATTAAAATAATATGAAATGTGAAAAGACAAAAAAGGCCTTTGTCAATACGACATCGTTTAAACTTAGGGCATGTTAAGTTGTATCGATCTCCTCTCTCTCCTCACTTCATACATAGACACACTCACTAAATCCACAATGTTTTTCTTTCTACAACAAAATGAGATATAGGGTTGTATAAGCTGTATATTCGTGTTGAAAGTGACGATTTGTAGGTCCTTCCTAACTTGGTTTTCTTCGATGCAATTTGTGGAATCGAAGCACAATGGTATGTATCCAAAAACTACATTTTTTTTTTAATTTCAATATTGTGGGTCCTATATGGTATATTTTTGTTTGTTTATGGCTTTTAAAGTTAAGATTTTTGTTATGGGGCTTGTTTTTCATAAAGGGTTTCAATTCTTTAATAATGGAGTGGACCACTTCTTTCGTTAATGCTCTGTGGATCCTTGAAACTCCGTTAAGAATTAGGGCTATAAACAACCAATTTTGAACCCCATTATGTTGGTATGCGTGATTAATGTTGATTAAGTGGTTTTTAGTTAAGTTTTATATTCAATTTAGGTCGGGTTTTTACAAACCTGATTAGGGTTTTTTTAAACATTAATTTTGTTGGTTATTTATGTGTTAAGTATTGACATAATGAGTGTTTTGTTGGTATATGCATGCACTTATGAATGTGTGTTTATGGGTTTTATTTATTTATTTATATATATATTTCTGTTTGTTTTGTGTGTTAAAATGCATACCTTTGTAGAATGTGTGTTTTAGTTCTGATTGTTTTATGTGTTATAATGCATGTTTCTATTGAATGTGTGTATTTCATTTCATTACTTTTATATGTGTGTTATAATGCATGCCTGAGTTGACAGTGTATGTATTATTTGTTTCTACAGTACATTGACAAGCATTACAGAGTAGAAGTTCATCATTCTGGTCACTTTGATAACACATATAATTATGTTGATGGCATTGTAGACTTTTATGAGGGTATTGATCCTAATATGATGTCTTACATAGAGATTCATAAGTTGAAAAATATTGGTCATAATCCTAAAAGTCCAATATATTATAGAAATCCCACTAATGGAACTACTATACTAATGCAAGGTACTAAAGGTGTGCTAGACATGCTTGAATGTTGCAAGAGGTTTTCAATTGTTAAAATATTTGCACTGAATGATGTGAATGGAACTGGAGCTGTACATATTGAACAAAGTGTTTGGCTCGTGTTCGATTGTTTAATAAACAAACCAATATCAAATAGAAATTTCAAGTTCGATTAATAAATGAACTAAGCTCAAACAACTCCCCGCTCGCCTTGTTTGTTCATGAACATGTTCGTGAACCAAGCTTATCAAACAGTTCATTTAAGCTTGTTTATATGGATTAAGAAGGTCTTATAAATTATGATTTTTATTTTAATCCAATATTCCAAGCCCAATCCAATTCATAGCCCAACATAACTAATATTAATTCATTCTTATTAGAGCCCAATCCACAAGCCCATTCCATTATAGTAAACCCATATTAATGTTTTTATCTCATTCATTAATCCTTACACAAACCCTTTTTTTTTACTCGTTCCTTACATAAACCCTAGCCGCATAACAGAAATCCCCCTTTTTTTTCCATTCCTTATCTAAACCCTAGTTGACATAGTAGAACTTAAAAGAAAAGGATGATCGACATAACAGAACTCAAAGAATTGGTTGATTCACCAACATCACAATTGCAAATGATAGTTGATGATCCCGCAACATCAAATCAAAGTCCTTCGCAATTACAACTTCATATGCCAAGCAAATTCGCTCTCTCTCTCTCTCTCTCTCTCTCTCATCTATTTACTCTCGATAATGATGTTTTTCTGATAAGCATATATGCATGTAGACATACACAGTCTGCAATACACCAATACACTCGAATGAGCTTTATCGAGCCGAGCTCGAGCTCGAGCTCATTTAAATACTTTTGAGCCGAACGTGGATGCTGAAAGCTCGATCAAGTCGAGCTCGAACACTCAGCTCGGCTGAGTTACAGCCCAGAATAACATAATTAAAAAATTAAATATAATTTAAAATTTAGGTTTAGAGGCGCGTAATCGCTTTTTGAAAATAGTTGAAGCATTTCCTAAGTGCAATCAGAATGTCAAATGGCAGCACTATCTCTGCAATTCAACTAAACCATATTCAACAATCTGCATGTTTATATAATGACGTCCTCTCTGAACATATTTATTCATCCTTGTTCAATCATTCGTCCAAAATAAAATATAGTTTAAGAAATTATATTCAAATTCAAATCCATATGTAACTATATATAACTATATTGAGTATAGAAGCAGGAGCCGGTACCAAATTGGAATTCCTATAACGTTGTTACCAGATGATAGGAATGCACAATTCTGTTGTCAAACCTCCACTTAAACCTCTCTTAAATCTTGAGTCTGATCACTAGAACTTTGTCAGAATCTCACCGAGTTCCGAATTTGGTTATGGAGAACTTCATCTGAGTTTCATTGAAATTTCTCCGAATTTGGTAACTCCACTCACTATATTTCTGACTTATCTCAACTTCAAAATATGTAAATACATATGTGAATGTGTATCCACACCTTAGACCTATATATATAAGTTCCATATTTAATAAGTGCATAAATGATGGACATAATTACAGAAGTCCGAAGCACTTGATGTGATTAAAATCTAGTGATTAAATACTGTATTTAATTTCTTATTAATGAAATTAATCAAGCAACCCAAATATCACGGTTATTTAGACATTTTACAACTTTTTTAATATCTATATATATATATATATATATATTTTCCACAACATTTTTAATATGAAAAGTTGACGGGAGGTGTTACTGTAAAAAAAAATTCCAAAATGTCAAAGTGTCAAAGTGGCAAATCACATAGAATGTCACTGTAAATTATGTTTAAATTGAGTAGACTCAAAAGAATAATCAGAAACATAGTGCGTTTTCACTTTTACTCATTTTGTAAAAATTATGAAAATAAACCCGATATTTAAAAGCAATTCATTTCAAATATACTCGTGCGTGACCGCGTGTTCCAGTCACTATTATTTGTTCAGCTTCGGAAAATAAAATACTTTTCAGAAAAAGAGAGGTTGTGCTCTCAAATGAACTAAACAAGCTTATAATACGTCGTCGTCTAAACACTGCTGGAATAAAGTCTCACGCAAGCCTCGCCAAACCTACTTCATTTCTGGGGTTGAAGAAGAACTCAGCCAATTCTCAGAAAATTTCCCGCGCGCTTCGTCTTTCGCATTCTCCGATCGATGGCTCCCAAATCAGACAGCGCCGAAGGTGAACTCTCTCTCTCTCTTTCTCTTTTTCTCTCTACATTTTTGTATGTATCTAAAATTCAAAACACCTAATAATTTCAATTTACGTACACTTGTTCCGATTATATATATCTTTATCTATTTATGTAGATTTTATCTTGATCGATCCATATTATATGCATCGATTGTTGAGTCGAACTCGTATTTGTTGAATTTGGGTATCAGAATATCACTTCCTGATTTTTGCTAAATTTTCAGGAATCGTACTCAACTTCGTGAATGAGGTACAGCATTCTTCGAATACTCTTCTAAATACCGCGTTTTTTTGTGTGTTTGTTCTATGTTCGTCGGCTATTTTATGTTTTCATGGGTGAGAGTATCCGATTTTTGACTCCACAACTGGTTTTTCAGCTTTGGGTATTTTTACGCTGTAAACCTGAGAGAGCGATGAAATGGAATGGGATTTAAATTTTCATGTCTGGTTAGGGTTTGATGTAATCTTAAAAGATCTAGTTTAATATATTGTTTTTCTTCGTACTTTATTATATGGGATCCAAAAGAGCATTGTAATTTCTGTTTGGTTGCAGAGAAAACTTGAAAGGGAACAAAATGAATTCTTAATCGTGTGTTCTGTATTTTTCTTTTATGATTAAATGTACCAGTTACCTGAACTATGCCAACTGCTTGTACAATTCATTAGTGGTATCATTTTCTTCTTGAATCTAAAATGAAATTTTATAATCTAACTTTTAGTTTCTCTTCTTTTCCTGAATTTTCTCATTAACCAAACAGCAAAGGGAATATGAAGTAGAAATCAGGCTGTTCTTGTAGAATTTTAATTTTCAATGGATTCCCATATTAGGACTTCTGTCCTCTGGTATTCAAAAATTAGGTGCATTACAATGTGTTACTAAGTAATCCAATTGCAAATTCACTTTCTCAGCACATTTCACACTTATTTAATTACTGTTTTGATTTATTTAATTTCTTTATCTACCAACCTTTGATGGTCAATCACTCTGATTGGTTCAACAACAAAAAATAAAGAGGATCTATTCTGACCAATGGTTATATTTGTTATGAATTTTAGGGAAATCAATTTTTTATCTTGAATTTATGTTTTTCATGATCCTGTGCCTAGCTATGAAAATGTTGTGCCTATTTTTCACTCGTTGTTTGAGTGGATATTCTCCAATATATATATATTTTTCTTTATCCAGCAAAATAGACCATTGAATTCTCAAAATGTGGCTGATTCATTGCAAAAGTTCAACCTCAAAAAGGCTGCTGTGCAGAAGGCACTAGATACTCTTGCTGATAGTGGGCGGATTTCGTTTAAGGAGTATGGTAAGCAGAAAATATACATGGCCCGTCAAGATCAATTTGACATTCCTAACACCGAAGAGCTTAGTCGGATGAAGGAAGAAAATGCTAACCTCCAAGAGAAGCTGGTCAAACAGAAGAAAGAAATTAGCGAGGTTGAGGGAGGTATTCTCTAAATTACCCATATAATAATTTTGTTTCTAAGAATGGTGAATTTATATTCTCTGTTATGTGAATATTTTGATGCGGATTTTTAGGTTCTGCTTTATTTATTGAAATTTTCATAACCTTCGCTTAGTAATAATGTGAGAAACTCTATTGTTGCAGAAATTAAAGCTCTGCAATCAAACTTAACGCTGGAAGAGATACATGGCAAACAAACCATTCTGAGAAAGGAGGTAAGTGACAGTCATACCTGGTTTCTCTTCTCCAAACTGATATTAAAGAGGTCTCTATTAGCAACGTAGGACAAAAACATTAAGAAGTATTTTGATCCTATATCAGGTGGAGGAAATGGAGGACAACTTAACTAAATTGCGGGGAGGAGTTACTCTTGTAAGCCCAGAAGAGAGGAATGCTGTTGAAAAAATTTATTTGGACACAATAAGTCAGTGGAGAAAGCGTAAAAGGACGTTCAAAGATCTATGGGATGCTATAACTGAGAACTCACCCAAGGATCTCAAAGAATTTAAGGTTCTGTAATACGTTACACAAATATGTGTATTTCACTTGGCCTTGCAAGTGTTGATTTTTAACATGTGTTTACATTTACAGGAGGAACTTGGGATTGAATATGACGAAGATGTTGGTGTGAGTTTGCAGTCATTCTGTGATCTAATGCAACAAGGAAAGAAACGAGCTAGAGGCCGGTGACTTATCTATGAGGATTTAGGCTAATATGTTGCTTTATGTTCTCCTAGAGGTAAACTTGATACACAAATTTGTAGATCACTAGATCCCTTATTTGATTTGTGCTCCTGAATCCCAGTAAGGTTACTATTACCGGTTATTTCATGCTGTACATTTGTTTTATAAGCAGTGATGGTCTTGTCCCTGGTATAAACTCATCTGAAATTCCAAATCTTCTGAAATTCCTGTTGTATTCTTGTCCCTGGTATCAACTCATCCTCCCAAAAGCTTGTTCTTGACCGGCATTTATGGTTAAATAGCTAATTAGTCTAAGATTGCCTGTGGGGATATAAAAGTTCTTTTTCTTAATGAATTCCTTTTATGCAATATGAGTCGATATTAGGCTATGTTTGTGATGACTATAATAAAGAACTTCAAAAATTGATTCTGCATGTCTGATTTCATTTCTTGGTAAACCATTAGGGTTTTTGTTGGTGGCTGTGAAGACTAAGGGGACTCCTGGGTTGGGCATTGGCATGTTTTTTTTTGGTCCTTCATATGCATGCATTACGAGTATCCTCTCAATTTTAATATTATGGAGCTTTGAACCCTTAAAGCCAATTAATTCACAGTTACAGTCTATATTATCACTCTAACTCATCAAATTTGTACAACTTTCTAATTTACTCATCTACATCATATTGTCGACGCACTTTTCTGGTCGCCTTTCTCTGCATTCAAATGCCATGAACTTTGTTTGCATCCTGGATCACTCAGCAGAATGTACAATTGGGTTCTCTGGCCCCCAGCTCCTGTTTGAGATCTTAAAAGGATCTACTTGTGAGATGGGTGTTAGAACTTTCCACCAACTCGTATTGGAACGGGTTTGGGATCACCTTATTAGAGGTTATGGGCGGTCTGGGAAGAGAGTTTAAAACTCGCAAACCCCCCAAACCTGGCCCAGTTTAGTAAATATATAAATAAATGTTTCTTTATTAGCTGTAGTTTTTATTTTCCCTTCATTTCTTATGATAATTGTAAATTTTAACAACATTTTGTTATTAAAATTATTAAATTTGACTATATTTATTTATTTTTATTTTTTACAAATTTTATCTTAAGTTTGTTTAAATTTGAATTGTTTCATATATATATATATATATATATATATATATGTATATATTTGGGAGTGCCCTGAACCCACCCCAACTCTAATGCGGTACTGAACCCACCCCAACTCTAATGCGGTACGGGACAGGACAGGATTAGAAAAAAGATTTTTATTTGTGGGACGGGTTTGGGAAAAAGGTGCACCGTACAAACCCGTCCCATTAACATTCAGGTTCATGGCTAAGTACGTTTTGCAACCCAACTTTTATCGACAATCCTGCCACAAATTCTTTTGATAGCAAGCCTCGCCTGTTGTAGTGACTTCAAATGGTCAATGAATTGAACTTCACTTTCAAAGTAGCAAAACCACTTCTTTCAAGTTTTTTCAGCTATATAGCTTAATTGAGTTCCAATTGCATATACGTTTTCTTAATCAACGAAGGGTTGGATCTAAAATTTTAAATAATTGACTGGTATAGAAGTGACAACAATGTAAAAAGTACAATTATGAACCATCATTAGAGAATAGTTATTACTTCTTCTTATTGAAATCTTAGTCCCATAATCGAGCCATTTATATTGTTTTTGTTTCGTGCTTTTGTTTTGACCTGAAATAGAAGTAGCCTTTCTGTTTTGGAGTATGTTCAATACTATTCAGAAACAAGTTTGGTAACATTATGTTTGTTGCAAGATTTTAGGAAGCAAAAATATGAAAATATGTTTAATAAAAAAGGTAATTTAAGATTTTTTATTTTTTCCTCGTTATAGTGTTTTTGCTACGATGTAGAAGAATCGGAAATATCAATTTGGTGCTTCCGGTTTCTATCCCTTGTTTGAAAACGTTTCGGTACTATTCAAATCACACCAAATATTACCAAACCATTGCCACACATTGTCCGAATCAATCAGGCCCTTAACCAGTTGGTATGAACTCTATTTGCCAAAGGAAGTGAACGCCAACATTAACCTATAAAGCGCATATATATATTTTTTGCTTTACAATATTTCATGATTTATGTGTGGAAATTTCTCAACTGTGTAAACACATTTTTGAGGAAAATTGTGAGTATCAAGACGAGCGTGCAAAGCGACAAGTTGTGACAGATGATATCAGAGTCAATTCCAAGTTGAAAATGGGAGAACATGCACAAGTTTACGAGAGTCAAACCAGCAAGATACTTAGAATTCAAGAGCTCCCAATTGTGTAAAAAAAAAAAAAAATCGTGAACACGAGAGGACCAAAATTATTATTATTATCCTTTTTCGTGACAATTAAATTTATCTACTCTTGTGATTATAGGAAGGTTTTTCATGGTAAATGTTTATATACACAACCATATTTAGGTTCATAAGGACTTGAGAATTTGTAGTACAAAAATCTTGTAACTTATTAGGAATTGAATTGAAACTTTTAATTTTTCAGGATTGGATTTCGTGTAAGTTCTTTAATAAGAACTATCATTTTATTAACATGCTTAAAATTGGAAACACCGAATCGGTGCTTTGAATTTGGAATTGTAGCAAATTTAGTTTAAACTTTGTGCTGCCAAACATGACAAAAGTAATTTCAATTTTAGGTTTTTAATAACTTTAAATGGCCACTAAGTATTTATAGAACAAATTAAACAAATTATGAAGTCATTTCAAGAATCAAGGAAAAATGAAGATAAATTTACTATGCTTATAGTTGGAATGTCGAGTGGAACATATTGGTGCAAATTGGTGTGACTTACATTAAGATCTTAAATTTCCATATTGCTATTTTTTAGGGGTGGCAGTATGGGCCAAGAAACATCAACCCGTCCATATTCGCTCGCTTTTTAATGGTTATGGGTGAACTATATTTAATTAAGGGTCAAGATAGGTTGGGCAATTTTTAACCACTTAATTTGAAGGTCAAGATGGGTTGAATATGGTTAACCATATTCAACCCATATTTCACCCATCACATAATAAACACACAACACACGTCATTATATATTGTACTCAACTCATTTCTCTCTCTAAAATTTTCTCACTCACAATCTTCTATCTATAAATTTGTCTTTCATCAATCCCTTATCTCTAAGTTTCTCTCTCTAGAAATTTCTTCTAAAAAAATAAATAATTAAAAAATAATTTAAAAAATTAAAAATAAATTAAAAAATTAAAATTAAAATTAAAAGAACAGTGAAAGGCGAGAAAGGTTGAAGGCCGACGCCGGAGCCTGCGGCTTCGGATGTGGATAGGAACGGCGGCAGGCGGTGGGTATTGTCGGTCCTTTGTGATCTGAGTTCGGCCAAGACAAATCCAGTGAAGAAGAGGAGGTGAAGGGAGGAGAAGAGAGGTTGGGATTTGTAGGGAGAGGATGGGATTTGGTTGAGGGAAACTGAGGCAGCAGATCAGATCAGTGGTGGCAAACATCGGCTTCGACATGGAATCGCGACGGCAGAGATCTTATCTCTGTTGTTTGCTCAACTCGGTAGAGAAGATCGGCGGTGGCAAGGAGTTGAGATCTGCGGTGGCGGCTAGAGCAGCGGCGGTGATGGCAGAGATCGGCTTCGGCTAGGCAGATGAGATCGATGATGACGATAGCAGAGATCCATGATGGCACTGGCGATTTCGGCCTCTAACGGTGGCAGTGCTCGAATGCTATCGGCTGTGATGGACGTTGTTTGGTGCAGCGGCGGTGACAACTATGAGATGGTGACGGGCAAGGCTGCAGAATCTGACGTGGCAATTCCAAATTAAAAAGAAAATTAAAACCTTATAAATGAAAAAAATTTATAAATTAAAAATTAATTAAAAAATTAAAAATTTTATAAATTAAAAATTAATTAAAAAATTAAAAATCCCTTACTACATCTTCCAAATAAAAATCTTCACAAATTGTAAATTTTTGTGTGTGTGCGCGTGTGGAAAATTTTTCTCCAAAATCATTCTCATCCATCTGATCACATTGCATTTGGTTTTTAAAAATCTAATTATGAGAAGTAAATATTGCAGAGGGCAGGTTGGTGGGGTTTTAAGAGAAAAGGAGCATCAGACATGCTTCGGTTTCGACTAGTTCCGCAACACCAGCAGAGGCACCAGAAATGTTCCCATCAAGTTTAAATAAAAAAAATATAAAAATAAAAAAATATAAAAAATTAAAAATAATAATTAATGGGTTCACGGGTCATAACGAGTTGACTCTATCCGTTTTCAACCCGTCCATTTTTAACCCGTTCTTAATGGGTAGAATATGGGTCTTGACCCATATTGACCCGCCCATTTACCACCCAACCCAAACCCAACCCAACTCGCTCATTTACCACCCCTACTATTTTTGTGCATTATCATAGACAATTGTACATAAACAGATCATTGTGTTGCAAGCTGTAGACAAATTAGGGATAGGAAGGAGTCAAACACGGACACACCTGCTCAGGGAGCTAGGCACTCTACCAACTAAGTCCCTGAATAATGCCCGCTAACTGTACCTCTAATGGTTTTGGACTTTTGTTGGAAACAGTTCAATATCAATTATCAAACATTATTATTCCTGAAAATATTGGTAACAGAAAATTTGCAGCGACATACTAAGATTTATACCCAAAACTACAATAACAAACAGAATCTTACATACACAGCACAAGAAAGATTGATAAGACAAACAAAGCGAAGACCTGAATCTGCTCTAAATCAATATCGTAGTACTAAATGGGGAGGGACATGGGGGAACATTAACTTCAACAACTCCTTCAAGCATCTGAGTTACCTTCCTCATTGTGGGTCTTAAAGACGGGTCTTCTTGAATACACCAAATGGCAACCATTACAAACCTCTCTAGCTTCGCCCTATCGTTTATGGCCTCCACGTCACCTTCAACCAGCGCGTCTATCGTTCCTTCTTGATAGCAGTCATAAGCCCAATCAGTTAGGATTGCTTTCTCTACTTCACTGGTATCCATATCTACGCTTCTCCGGCAACAAATGATCTCTAGCAGCAACACACCAAAGCTATAAACATCGACTTTCACTGTGATTGGCATTCTCCTGAACCATTCCGGTGCAACGTACCCTCTAGTTCCCCTAATGTCAGTGTGGGTTTGGCTCTGACCAATCATTAAAAGCTTTGCCAATCCGAAGTCAGAAATCCGAGCGTTGTAATAATCATCAATGAGTATATTCTGAGGCTTTATATCGCAATGGATGATCTGGGTGCTACACTCTTCGTGCAAGTACAAGAGTCCTCTTCCAATCCCATAGGCAATTCTGATTCTCTGGTTCCAACTCGGTCTTGTATCTCCGAAAAGGAAGCTCGCTAACGTACCATTGCTCATGTACTCGTACACCAGTAATCGATTCGGTCCCTCATTGCAAAATCCAATCAGTCGGACCAAATTCTTGTGATGTGTCTGGCCAATCACATTCACTTCAGCTTTAAATTCCTTCTCACCTTGAACCAATCTTTCTAACTTCTTGACTGCAACGAAATTTCCCGAACCCCTATTCATTTCCCCTTTGTAAACAACGCTAAAAGCTCCTTTTCCTACTTCTTCATTGAAGCCATTCGTAGCTTGTGCAAGCTCTTGGTATGTGAAACAACGCAAATTAGTGTCCGTGACGCTTTCGAATTGGGGAATTCTGGTGTCCTTTCTCTTGTAAATGAAGCAAAAGCCCAGAAGAATTGCAGCAACTAATACAAAGTTGAAGAACACAGAGCTTCCTAATAGCACCGATCCCACGACAGCTTTAGTCTCGTCGTGCTTCTTTCCCGGCTTCTTCTCATCGGGAGGACAAGGACCCGGTGGGGAAGAATTAATATCTTTCCTGACTTTGACAAATGCCGTGCTCCTTTCAGTTCTAACAACTCTCCCATTTGAGAGTGGTATCCTCTTCTTCCAACAGCTATTATCTCTGTAAATGGAAACAGAGCACAAGCAGTCTCGCAAGCAAGAATTCCTGCACTCCTCTCTATCGAAAGGCTCCAACAGCACGTAATCAGAAAATGGCCAGTCAGTGTTGGATAGCTCAACAAGATCATATAGTTGTTCGTGGTCATCCTCGCAGCCCTGCGCGAAATTCGGTTTGCAGTCACTAAATTGATCACTTGGATCGAGCAAGGAATACCCTCGTGGGCACGAACAAGAAGGCCTTCCATCCGTTTTGAGCTGGCAAAGGCTGTTATAACCGCAAGTGCCACTTCCTGCAGTCACAACACTTGCTGTGCAAATATTTTCCGGTTCATACCACAGCACAGACCAGCTTTCGTTGCCACTGGATGTCTTAGGATGATAGTATTCCGTGAACACACCGTCGAAATTGAGAGTTGCTCTGAGATAGTTATCCGTGGCTGAAACAGCTCCTCCTCCTCCGAGCATGGACCTCTGGCCGTTCCCTCTCAGCACGTATATGTATCCGGATTGATTGAAGACGAATCGGGAACCTGCATTAGATGAATCATTATCATCCCGAGTCCCGCTTGTAAAGTAAGGTTCATTAGGATGGTCTGTAGGCAGGTTTATGGTTCTGAGCACAAGATTTCCGTTGTCAAGCATGCTGAGTTGGAACCTTCCTTTGGAGAAACTAGTCTCCGTTTTTCGAGAGGTTAGCACATATCTCTTCTCCAATTCCTGAGTAGGCAACATGGTGTCGGTAGGAACCCGGAAGCTTTCCCACAACTCTTGCAAATTCCTATCTTTAAGCACAAAGTTACCGGTATTGTTCATGTAGCCATATGCAACTGAGCCCACAAGAGGATCAGATTTCCATATCTGGTCGCCTTGGGGGTTAGTAAGCACTAGCCCTCTGTCAGCAGTAAGCTCAACTTTGGAACCTCTAGGGACAGTACTGTTGCCTTCATTTGCATACCACACTATGGTTTTTTGTGGTATCTTGTCATACCATATGGAAAGCAAGAAAAGATTGGTGCCCACTTCCTTGAACCCGAATGCAAAATCGCCGGATTGAGAAAGCCACGAATGCGCCTCAGCAGCAGCAGTAAGAGAGGCACCGATCGATACATTACCACCGTTGGTTTGAGCAACACCAGAAAATGGAAGCAGAAATAGAAAGAAGAGGAGATGAGGAAGAGGGCAAGCCATTGCCTCAACTTATTGGTTTGTGAATTACCACCAAAGAGATGGAATAAAGATGTTAAATAATGGATGATGGTGGGTAGGTCCTCTTTTGAATAATCTTACCCCTGCAAAGGACTAAAATTCTTTAGGATGATCATCCTAATCTAGTCTAAAGGGACCAAAGATAATAGACTAATTGATCCCGAAGCATGGTTTATTGCTAAGTAACATAAAATGAGAGTGGAAATACAAGCGCCAAAATCATAGACACATGCATGGAATGAGAGCAGGGGTAAGAAGGCGGGTAAAGTGGGTGAGCAGAAATCCACACAAAATGTGAGAGCGTAGAAAAATTAACTTAGGATGACAGGCGGGTGAAGTAGGATAGTAGAAGTTCACACGAAACGTGAGAGTACAGAAAAATTAACTTAGGATGACATGCAAATGAAATAGGAGAGCAGAAGCTACACGAAACATGAAAAGAACAATTATATAACCCAACTTTCCCAAACAAAAAACAATTATATAACTTAGGACGTGATCGACAAGACAACGAAAGCAAACGTTAATAGACATTAGACTAGTACAAGAGAGATATTTTGATCGACCATAGAAAAGGCAACAACTAAACAAGTTTGCAACAAAAAGAAGAAGAAATGACAATGAATGCATTCGTTAATCGTCAACTTAATAGTACTGAGACTGACCGCCAACAGTGAATGCATGTTGTAGCTTTCAATGATTCCCACATCAAGGTTGATTTGGGTCAAGTCGTTGTCCATGCCATGAATAGGAGCACGTAGAAAAAGAAAAGTCTTAAATTGTTCTTCATTGAATGATTTACCTTTATTTGGTTGAGAAGACCCACATGGCAATGCCGTTCACAGCGGGTTAGACTTCAGGGGAAACAGACAAAACATTGAAATTGATACCATCCTACTGAACTACTTTACAAGTGCGTGTTAGTTATTTGTTAATTTTTCTACTTTTTCTTAGCACTATAAGTTTGAATTCAATCGTTTATATATTTATATAGAAAATAATAATTTGTCCACCGATGATCCAAAATAACCGACTAAATACATGTCAACTGTTGATTAGCACAACCTTGTACACAACTTTTTTTACCCTTTTCTTCAATAGCGGTGTACTCTTCGTCCCTCTCATCTCTCCCCTTTTTCTTTCATGCGGCAAACAAGAATTGTGTGAGATGTTCGGTGACAAGAGCCTTACCGGCGCCACCACCGACTACCAAACTTCAACTTAATTTTTTTTCTCTCAACCTCACCACACTTCTCTATCTTCGGGTCTTCCATCATTGATCTACAATCCAAATAAAAACTCCACCTCTTTCGTCGATTTTCTTCATCTCGCGAGGTAATCATTTCCAGTTCCGGCCTGCTTGGCCTTCGTCTTCTCCAACTCCACCGCAACCGCTAGCGACCAATTCATCTTTTTCTCTTTTTCTCTTAAAAAACAATTCAATTTTTGTCTATCAAACCTCATTTGTTTTTAATTCTTTCCTCAAAACCAATTAAATTTGTGTCCCTTTCCAACCCATCCCTTAGAACCAATTCTTATGACGAGGGCGGCGACGGACTGAAGTTTGAGTAGGGAGTCCGGTGATTGCAAGGAAGAACCGCACCAGAGATCAGTGGCTCCAAACTCCAAACGAGTAAAATTCTCTTAAATACACCTTATACATAAATTCTTTAATGCTCCAACAGGCTTTAAAATTGTTTCTATAAAAGAATAAATCGACACTACTCTATCCCACTCCCTAAAGACCACTCTATAAGCACTCACCAAACTGTTAAAAATAATGAAGACATCCTACCCTTGCATCCAAAATAGCAGTGGCCAAACAAGATAGGCATAAAAATCAAAACCTGACTCATTCACCTGATTATCAAAATTGCCGATTTGCCCAAACCCACTAATCAAATTCTCTCTCTCCCGCCATTTCTTTTTCTCCTCTCGAATTCTTTACTGCCTCACTCACATCCGATGCCCCATTGGCATCCCCATTCATAATCAACTCCCCACTCCAATTAGTTCCCGCCGCCACTGGAAAAGCAGAACAAGTTGCGTAAGCTGCCGACGCCCCCACCGAGCAACCCCTCTGCCGAGTCCCATTTCAATCGGTGCTCCGTCCGGACACTGAGTGTGACCCTCGCTGCCGCCGCTGCTCAGAACGGCAAGGTCTCTTGCTGTGAACACCATTACTGGAGGCAGAATCTTTTTCCGTAAGTGTATTCTACCGGATGAAGAGTACGGAGATTGAAGAAAAGGTATGCCCAAGGTTATGCTAATCAACTGTTGACACGTGTTTAGTCTTTTTTTTTTTTTTTGGGTGAATAATATGAGAGTCCTGGATCATTAATATTTGGTGGACTAGTTAAATAGAGATTCTCGAATTGAAAAAATGACCTCACAAGAGTGTATTAATAAATTATAAAGTTTTATGAATGGAGGGTTTTCATTGAGTTAGTCCACCAATTATCAAATAAACTAGAACCATACCCTAATGTGACGGCCTTGGTTTTTAGGCCAGCGCGTTCTGTGATGAACTGAACGTAGATCCGATAACAAATCCAAAATACGGAAGTAAGAAATAAGATAATGGTCTCCCAAGGCACAACACACCTCTAAGACACTTTGATGACCTTTCATGAGGTCGTGGAACTCAATGAGAACTGACGCAGAAGCAAAAGATTAGAAAATAGCAATTAAGCCCCCAGGGCAAAATAGTCATTTTACATAGAAATGACGTCCCTAGAATGTATATCATTCTCGAAACACATCCATGACTTCTCGTGAAGTCACGGAACTCAAAAGAAAGTAGCGGAAGCGAATTACAAGAAAATTAGACAAAAATAACCCCAAGGGCAAAATGGTCATTTTTGAAAATATAAAATCGGATGCTACCGAGCACACCACTGGGAACACAGAGAAAAATTAATCAAGTTATACTCAAGAATCACTTGATTCAGAATCCGGATGGAAGAGAAAAGTCAAAACAAAGTTTTGACGTCGCCGCGACTGTGAATAGTGTTTTGATAGCAATGAATAGTAATCTAGGCAAAATGCTGAAATCGTGTGCTGTTTTGAGGCACTAAACGACGTTTTCTAGAAAAACACGAAGAGAAAACCCCGCTCAAAATAATTTTTCCAAGCTGACCATGTCGAAAGAAAATTTTATTTTTTTGACGTGAAATCTCAAAAATGCCCTTACAACAGACTTTTTCAAATAGTACAGATGCGCACAGGAAATCAAATTTGACGAGGCGTTTTCGGGTCCAAGATTACATTTTCTGGAAAAATGTTGTGAAGAAACCCCCCTCCCTAAAATCACGTTTTCTATGTGACCATGTCAAGACCATAATTTAGTTTTCAAAGGAAATTTCCAAAATGCTTCTAGATCAGTTTAGGCCAAGAGGGTTAAAAAGCTGTTACATGCATAGCAGAAAACTGAACTTTGTAAGAGATTTTCGGTACTAAGACGACATTTTCTGAAAAAACACAAAGAAGAAACCCCCCCCTAAAATTGAGTTTTCTACTCGACTATATGGAAGGATATGAAAAAAAAAACTGCAAAATCCCTAAAATGCCCATAGATTAGAACTGGTCAGGAGGGCAAAAAGCTGCTACAGTGACTATCCACATCTGAGATAAAAAACAGGCTACCAAACGAATTTTTCTGGAAAAACACGAAAAAAGAAACCCTTCCAGAAGTCAAATTTTCTACCTAATCACACAGAAGAAAATAAAAAAAACACACTGTAAAATGGCCAAAATGCCCTTAGATCAATAGAGGCTTAAAAATTCAAAAGTAAATCTATAGGGTACTCACTTTGTGAAAATGACTCTAAACTTGAAAACGATCATGCACGCAAACGTAACTTACCTAATTGGACGTGCTACAATGGTCCATATCTTAAAAATAATGCCGATGCAAAATTCGACCTCTTGACGGCCAAAAAGGGGAAAATGAATGAGAAATGGGAAATTTGAAAACCAAATTTAACAAATGATTTCAAATTACCGTTTGGCCCTTGGCCACACTTCATATATGATTAATGAGACCCTATGAAAGAATCAAAATAGAATTCCCACATCCGATGCAAACATGGTGAAGTAATGACTTGACATTTTTCAATATTTTCATAATAAACCTTAAAAGTGAAAACGCATAGAATACAAATTTGATGTCATTGGCCTATGGCCTCATCTCATACATGTCAAATACATTGTAAAGAGCGTACTTATATACACATTACATGTTTAGAACCAAATATACACATTTCGACGTACAAGGCTACAAGTGGCTTTTTAAGCCAACCTTTACAAGAATTGAAACTTCCGAGTCTACAAATCATCTAAGCATGATGAGAATCACAAACCAAGTCTTCGTACCTAAAACAAATCCCCAGTAACTTCAGGGTGAGTAGCATAAAGCTACTCTTAGGAAATGAGCATGCATCAACCTAGCATTTTACAAAATTATCACCTTAAGGTGAAACAAGTCAAAGGGGCTGATGCCCCCTAACGTCTGTATCAAGATGAGACTCGGGGAACATCCTAAGCTACCTTAGGTAATTTCTAGCATAAATCACATCATTCATGCAATTTAAACAATATAGAAACATGTCATATAAAGCAACAAGATATAGGTTCTCAAAAGAATCAACTTGCAACTTAAGATACAAAAACAACTAAAGTGGGTCATGCCACCTAACATCTATGTTTCAATGAGTCTAAAGAATCATCCTAAGCTACCTTAGACTGTTTCTAGCATAATCACGTCGTTCATGCAACTCAAATAATCATTAAAACATATTATACAAAACATCAAGATATAGATTCTCAAAGTCTTCAACTTGAAATCTAAAACACGAAAACAACTAAAGTGGATGTCACCTAACGTCTATATTCTAATGAATTTATAGGATCATTCCTAAGTTACATTTGAACATCAAAACACAAATTACAATATTGATGCAATTTAACTAACATTGGAACTTCCAATACAATGCATAAAACATGATTCCTCTAAGTTAACATCTTGAAACTCAAAACGGGAAATCAATTAAAGAACAACAAGTTACGATATCATCTAGTTATCAACTTGAAACGAAATACGAAATCAAATAAAGTGGATATTTGGACATCATGTCGGATCAGACCAACACCATAGTTACTTTAGGGTTACTAGCCCATGGATAACCTCCCTATGTGTGCACTAGATTGTAGACGGACAATCCCCCGTACTAGAACCATGTCCTAGCCATAGTCAAACAACGACATCCTCAAGTTTCCAAAATCAACAAGTTATACAACAATGTATATATCAACATGTATATACAAGATAATCAACTATTTACCATGCACAACCGAATTTGGAAACACATACAATACATGCTCTAAGTCTACAACTACTAAGGCATGACAAATGTCGAATCTT